CTCTTATACACATCTAGATGTGTATAAGAGACAGGTCTAAACACGCCTCCCTCCTCCCCTCCTCCCCTCCTTCCCTCCTCCCCTCCTCCCCTCCTCCCCTCTGCATCTCTCACTCTCTCTCTCTCTCTCTCTCTCCTGTCTCTTATACACATCTAGATGTGTATAAGAGACAGACCTTCCTCCCCTCCTCCCCTCCTCCCCTCCTCCCCTCCTTCCCTCCTTCCCTCCTTCCCTCCTTCCTTCCGTCTTTGCTAACATTCCTTCCTCCTTCCTTCCTCTATTTTCCCTTTGGCCCAGTCAACAGAGCTTGCCTCTGTTCCCGTCTGCCTGCTGGCAGATGGCCACTCTGAAAACTTCGACAGAGGGGTCGATGGAGTGACCTGGTCTTGTCTGCAGTTCTACGGAGTAGAGGCTCTACAAACTCCCTAAATAAACTGGCGTATTCATCGTTGGCAACAATGAAACCTGTTGGTCGTCATCTGCGGTGTATATGAGACCAGGTATGTGCCAAGGGCGGCAATCATGAGTGCTCTAGATGAACTGTCAGTGAGTGGTCAAGATTTCTTGTGCACATCCAAATGCACAAGCATGCAGCAACCCAAACACACACACACACACACACACACACACACACACACCCCTCCAAACCCCCACAGCATGTATATGATGAGTTCGCCTTGCCAGGGTGTACTGAGCAGGACACTGCCTGCCCATACACGAAGCCATTTGATCCATCAGCGTTTCTCCCATCTCTCGTCATTGTCGTACCATCCGATCTCCATGATGCTCAGCTGACAGAGGTGGAGGAGGGTGGCTCACAAAACCACCTTCTTCTCCTCAGTGTCCTCACCCTTCACTCCACCAATTTGTTGCTGCCGTTGTTATCCTTCTCATCCTGAGAACCGTTCTCTTTCCTCCTCCTCCTCCTCCTCCTCCTGCCCGAATTGTCAGGCCGCCACTGGCTATGCCTAAATGCTACAGCATCCAAGAGCTAGCTTCTCTCCGGGTGTATTCACATTAGGCTGTGTCATCGAAGTTCTGACGCTCTGAGCAGTAGTGCATCCTGGGGCTGGCCACCTGCCTGCTAGTAGCACCTGTCCAACTTTCTGGATCCCCTCACCAGTCATACCCTTTGCACGCTGCCTTCTTTCGATAGACACTAGGTTCCATCTGCACCCCCTCTCTCCATGCCCCTATGATGATCGTCTCCTCATTTACCATCATCTTCAGCAAGCATGATGCCGGAATCGCACACAGTCGACACCCCCTCTGAAATACCCCTTCTGCACGCCAACCATCCCTCCACCATCCTGATAAACATATCCCCTTTAAAGTCTAAACGACATTGGGAATGACCCAAATGAGTTCAGTCGCGGATTAGCACTGCCCCCAGGCACGTACGCGAAGCAGAAACGAAACCCCTCTCACTCAAACCCCAATCCTGGCCTGACCCTAATGACCACCTCCTTTCTCCCCCCTTTCTTTACCTCCTCCCCTCCGCTTTGCGTCATCCTAACCTCTCTAGTATATACCTCTACTTCTCTGTCTGCCTCTAAGTCCCCTTGCCGCCGCTTCTCTGTGCTACCTCATCCGGACTCTCCCAAGCTCCATCTCGATCTCGATCTCGATCGCGATCTCGATCTCGATCTCAATCACACTGCTCGTGTGGTCAACTCACCGGATTCCTTGAGCTCTTTGACTTTGCCGCACAGTAAAAAAAAACCTTGCAGTTTGACTTTCACACAGCCAAATTGCATTTCGATTGAGGGACGGTCAAATGAGTTCCCACCTGTGGGACAGTCAGACTGCATTTCGACTTTGCGGCACAGCGAAGCGGGTCGCGGCTTTTTCCGTCGAGCCATATCCAACCTGCGGCATTTTTTACGACCTTTCACCAATCAATTTGCATTTCAATGGAACGCAGAAAAAAAAAAAGAAGGGTGGACTCTGAGGCGGTCAAATTGTAGATCGACTGACACAGTCAGATTGCTGTTTGACTTTCGACTTTGTCTCAGTCAAAGGGCTTGACTTTTGACTTTGGCTCAGTCAAATGGGTGGGTTGACATCAAAGAGATAAGTAAAATCAAGTCGACCATCAGCCAACGGAGTTCATGAAGTCATTCATGACCCTTGGCCGCACCGAGGGGCACCTGAACATAGCCTATCATGGCTTTTTCAAACTCACGGTCTTCAGAATCGCTTTGATGAAGTTTGATGTCTTGGCCTTGTCGAGGAGCAGCTGAACACACGTAGTGCATGCTCTTTGCAGGGGCTCGAAGTATTAGGAATCACGTTGACTTTGATGGCTTTACCTTCACACAGCAAAACAATGCTTCCAGGTTCCAAGCCAACGTGCCATACGGCACCACGTCCTAAAACGCCCGTCGCTGGTTGAGAGAGTCAGAGAGGTACTAGGCGAAACTACAACCACTGACATGCACTTCCTCCGCTTACATGTCCCGCTTTTATGCGAAACACGCAAAGGAAACAAACAAAAGGAAGGTAAAAGAAAGGAACACACACACACACACACACACACACACACACACATACACGCGCACACGCGCACACGCACACACACGCACACACACACACACTCACTAGCACACGCACAGTGTCACAGAAAAACAAGCAAAAAAACAAAATGATTTCACACTAATAGCACACCTTCCCAGGGATAAGATTTACACACCCCTCCCCCTGGGCACCTCCCAATCCTTTTGCCTCATTCTCCACACACCTGAGAAAACAGAGGCTGCGATAGGAGTGAGCCATCGTTGTTCAAGAGGAGCACCCGGCGACAACAGCTTTCCGGATGTCCAATGGCTGGAAGAGCGAAGGGCGACCATACGGTACCTCACCGGCAGGCTTTGTCACACACAACCCACTGTTTTTTCCGCCAAGCTTCCTTCCGATGCCGGGCAGCCTCATCTCCAGGAGGTAAGATCCGTGCCTCCTCCGCCACCACCAAGCCTCTGGGCGGCGACCACTTGGTCTATTCTGGCCCGCACAACAAACCACTTGGCGCCCCCGCCGTCCATTCGCGTTCTAGAGGTTAGTTGAGCGGAGCGCAATTGAAGAAGCTTATTGCCACGCACTGCAGCTTGTCATCGTTGTCGATGACTTTCCATGCAATCGCCTTGTTGTAACCAATGGCTTTCCCTGATGCCGTAGTCCACACACCCGTAGGAAGAATACAGTAATTCTGCTCACACCCAAGACGCACCGACAAACGCCGGCAACACAAAAACAACGGCACAAAAAAGACAGCGTGAGACCTACTCAGAGCAAAACACAAGGAACACAACAGAGCAGCAGAGCATTCCCGTCTGTTCTCTTCAGTTCGATGTTTGATCCATGGTCATGGGACCAAATGGTATTAAAATACTACTAATTAATTGATTAAATCTTTTTTTTTTGCAGTACGGAGGGGTCAGATGGGTAAGCTTGCTTCGGGGTACTACACGTTGTTCGCATTGATAGCATTCAATATGTCACACTCTGATCAGCCGATGCAATCAATGCCCCACAGAGATCATCACATACAGTCAAACCAGGACAACTGCAGACTGCAGTCACAGCTATCTCTTCATAGGTACAGCACTTCAAACCCGAGTCCAGCGGCAGCGGCATTTGTCGACAGAGATAGTACTACTCCGAACTCACAAGTACACGACTGTGCCTGGGTATGAGCCACCATCTTTCAGTAGCAATATCAATATCAATATCAAGAGCAACAGCAATAGCAATAGCAATATCAATATCAATGTCAATATCAATATCAATATCAAGAGCAATAGCAATAACAATAGGTTAATAGGCTACTAGGCTAATAAGCTAATAGGATGATAGGCTAATAGGATGATAGGCTAATAGTCTAAAAGGCTAATTATAGGCTAATAGCAACCTATGTAAACAAGCCTGTGGAAAATGGCAATCACCTATTGGCAAGAGGAGCAATGTGAACCAGTAGCAATATCAATATCAATATCAATATCAATATCAATATCAATATCAATATCAAGAGCAGTAGCAATAACAATAGGTTATAATAATAATAGGCTATTAATAGGCTAATAGCTAGTAATAGGCTAATATGCGCAAGCCTGTGCAGAATAGCAATCACCCATTGGCAAGAGGAGCAATGTGAACCCCCTAAAGGAAGGGACCTCTGGGTGTTGGTTTCCCACGATGAATTGGACAAAATGTTAAGTGTCTGGTAGGGGGGGGGGGGGGGGGGGGGGGGGGGGGGGGGAGAGAGAGAGAGGACAGAAGAATGCAGATGATGCACTGTCATCCACATGAAGAAACGGACAAATAAATCAACTCTGGGAAAGAACTCACCTGCCGTATGGCTTCAGAGAACCCTTCATAAATCCATTTTCTCAAATGCTCGTCGGTAACCGTCTTTTCCCATGACAAGTCGAACAATCCTTGCATTGTCGTCTCAAGCATCTCCAGACCAGCCCTATTTGCAAATATGAACGCTGGCGAGGTCTGTTTTTTTTTTTTTTTTTTTTCACATGGG